CCGCTCTTGTAGAAAAGTTTACTCAACACGTCACTCAACAAGGATTACAAGCAATTGGTTCTTTACAAGGAGAAAATGTAAGAAATATAATAATAATGAATATAATTTTATTTGATGCGAAAGTATTTTATTACTTAATAACTGCATAATATAGATTCATACACAATTTGTCGAAACCATGATGGATGTGCATCGAAAATATTCGGAATTGATTGACAATGTGTTTAGAAGCGATCAAGCTTTCGTAACTGCTCTCGGTAAAGCTTGTTCAGTTGTTGTTAATCATAGGCCTGTTCCACGCCAACCAGCTAGAGCGCCTGAATTAGTAAGTATTTTCAGTAATGTAAGTAAATATTATAATGCAATATGTTTAGTTTTCTCTAACATACAATATTTCAATCTAGCTTGCTAAGTATTGCGATTCCTTATTAAAAAAATCTGCCAAGGCCGCATCGGAAGGAGAAGTAGAAGAAAAACTAGTACATTGTATTACCGTATTTAAATACGTTGATGACAAAGATGTTTTTCAAAAATTTTACGCACGAATGTTGGCAAAGAGATTAATACACCAACAATCGCAATCAATGGATGCTGAAGAATCTATGATCGATCGTTTAAAACAAGCATGTGGTTACGAATTTACGAATAAGTTACATAGGATGTTTACCGATATGTCAGTTTCAGCAGATTTGAATGCTAAGTTTACAACGAGCTTACGGAAAGGGGACAGAGAAAATCAATTAGGTATTGGCTTTGTAGTTTATGTTTTACAAGCCGGAGCCTGGCCATTAGGTTTACCGCCATCTTCAGGATCATTTGATATTCCGCAACAATTAGAAAAATCTATACAAGCGTTTGAAACTTTCTATCATGCGCAATTTAACGGGCGAAAACTCACTTGGCTACATCACCTTTGCCAGGGAGAGCTCAAGTTTAATTACTTAAAGAAACCTTATTTGGTTACTGTACAAACGTACCAAATGGCATTGTTGCTTCTTTTTGAGCATTGTGATTCTATACAATGCAAAGAAGCTGCCGCATCATTACGCTTATCACACGATCAATTAGTTAAACATGCAACCAGTTTGGTTGACAGTAAAATTTTAAAAAAATCAACAGAAGGAGACTTGGAGGAAGATACAGTTTTGATGCTCAATTTCGAATACTATAATAAAAGAACAAAATTTCGTATAACTGGTGCATTGCAACGAGATGTACCACACGAGTGTCACGATGTTGAAACTACACATCGTAGTGTCGATGACGACAGAAAATTGTACCTGCAAGCAGCTATAGTTCGTATTATGAAGAGTCGTAAGGTTTTAAGACATAATCAACTCGTACAAGAGGTGAGATTTTATTTTAATATGATAGTGAAAGTCAGTCTAAATGATGTAATTGAACGTAATAATATTATTCCAGGTACTAAGTCAATCTAAGGTTACATTTGCACCATCAATCAGCATGATCAAAAAATGTATCGAAGCTCTTATAGATAAGCAGTACATCGAACGTACGCCAAACAATGCAGATGAGTATTCGTACGTCGCATGATTTTATTATACCACCTGACACAATCATTAACTTATTTCATTCAGGATGCTTTGGGATCGTTCATAATAGATTAGTTTTTGTTAATATTTTAACAAGACGATTAATTATTCAAAATTTCACATGACCGAATACATCTTGGTAGACAGAAACAATGCTCTTATCAATGATAATTGAATCTCACATTTGAAAGATCAAAGAAAGCATCCTGAATTGCTTACTTGCTCCTAAATCAACCGATTAATAACTTAGTTGATTCAATGACTTGTAATATATGTGCACGGAATAAAGATGATGTTACTATTTTATGCTGGGACAGTTTCATTAGTTTCCCAAGGGTCAAAATTTAATTTTTGATTTTAATCTGATAAATACAATTATCACTACTCATTTTGAGATTCATTGAATCTGTATGAAGAATAAATCTATATATTTTTATAAAATCTATGTATAACAATACTCCAGACATATTTGAATTCTAATTTTTATCTTGCTGCTTATAGTAAGTCTCTGGTCCCTCATCTTTAAATTATAGTTTACCAGTTAAAACTGGTAATAGCATATACAACACTTTTGATGGCCATATATTGCACGATACATGGTGAGATTTAAGTGACATTGCAAAGAATTCTTTGTATCAGACACTTTGCTCTTTAAAAATATAACATAATATGTGGAATGTTATTAATAAGTTACACTACAGCATAGGTCTGGGTTGGTACTATTAGGAACGTGGAGTTTTTAGTTGCAACAGTTCTGGATCCAGCAAAGGATTGTCATCTGTCTCCGATTCTAGTGGCTTATTCATACTATTAACCACAAGAGGTGATGCAGTGGCTGTGTTACTGTATGGTGAAAATCCTGCCCATTCCATGCCAAGATATATTGGTGGTGGGCTACCCAATGGTGGTTCCAGTAATAAATGATCTGATTGTTGCTGCTGTTGTTGCTGTTGTTGCACTTCTTGACATTCAGAAGGTGGCAAATGCGAAGTCAAGTGAGTGGTTACTTTACATTGTTTCTCTTGTTTCCGCCACTTTGCTCTTCTGTTTTGAAACCATACCTATAAACAAATTGTTCGATCTAATAATTATTGTTGATTGCATTTTCTGGAACAATAGAAAGCACAGCTGTTACCTGTACCCTGGCTTCGGTCAATTGGATACGTAGAGCTAGTTCTTCTCTAAAAAATACATCAGGATAATGTGTTTTCTGAAATGCCCTTTCTAGTTCTTCCAATTGGAAATTTGTAAATGTGGTACGATATCTACGCTGCTTCCTTTTACCAACTCCAGTTGATTGTCTGTCTTCGTTTCCCGGACTTGGTGAAAAGTCGTATGCTACAAAAGTGTATCATTCTTACCAATATTATCGAGTATTTGCCAAACTTTATACGAAATTAAACGGACTATGTTGCGAGTGTGATGCGATTATCCCACTTATAGTTGTTACAAAACAATACACAATTTAACGAGTTGATTCGTGATTCACATGCTGGTTTGTCAGTGCACTTAATCATGCTGAATTTACGTGGCGTAAAATGGTTCATAACTGTTAAACTGATTACCACTAACTCTATTTAAAACAAGGGCTGCCGATTCGCTTAATGCATTTAGCAATAATTTAATTGAGGACTGCCCCAACTTACGAGCCGACAGGTAGAGAGTGGCAGTTAATTAAATCAGGTCTGGGGTGGCAGGGTGCACTTACAGAATTTTGTAGGAAAGCAAACTGAGGAAGATTGAGTGCCTATCAGACCAGCTAGAGCAGTCGACTGTAGATCTCCTCCAGGGTTGATCTCGTCTGGTGCTCCAGTGGAAGCGACGATCGCTCCGGTGGATACTAGAGGATCACGCGGTGCACCCACCAAAAACAGTTGTCTATTATTTTCGTTCGCACTTTCGTCTTCTTCCTTTAAATCCATTGCAATACTTGGCTTCCGTTGTTTAATTAATTAAACACAGAATAAACGAAGCAGGCAGTAGACTGAATGAAGGATAGGCTAATGGTAATTGAATCACTACCAGGTTGAGAAGTTCGTGTGGGTACCACAGCGACTCCGCAACTCTGCTATTTCTTTTCTCTTTTCCTCCTTTTTTCTTTACACCTGTACGATGTAGATAGGGTAGGGGATAGAGTATATTCAACGTGAACTCCCTCAAGAGGGGTAGTGAAGCCTCAAAAATGTATTGCTTATACACCACGAATCAATAGCGTGAGAGCACAGTAGAAAATCGGAATATTTACTTTCTCCCGTATGCTAATTAATTTTTTACGAGAAATTAATATTCGCATATTCCCGTATTATTGCTACTCTTTTGCTGATAAGGTACATAATATGAAACTCTCGAGGTTTATGGTTTTAATTATCTTAAAAATTTTAAGGATTTTGCTTATGTTGGACATATAATTGAATATTTACTGATATTAAATATATTTGCAGAAAATATTTGATTATAATTCTACAAAAAGGGCTAAAAACAGATGATTAAGATGTTCCATTAAATACAAATTACAAATCTTCTATATATATTTTTTATTAGCTCAGTGTAGTGTATTACAATGTGTACAAAATTTGCTACATTCATTCATACTTAAATAAAAATGTATCGTGCCTTAAAAATGCACATTTTATGGTACAAGCTTTACCACAGTAACTTTATCTTAAGCTTATACGAAACTGAAATAGTGCTATTTGATTTACTCATGAAAATGTAAGAAAATATCTTTAGCACAGTGCATATTACAGTAAGTGCATTAAGTAAAATGTTCAATATGAACTTTGTTGTTTAAAATTATTATCTTCAGTACTCCATCTCATGTGTGCATGTTGAAACACGTTAGTTGGACCCATGTTATATTATCAAGGGTGAATAGAACATTTAAACATAAAAAAGGCGAACTTTACTGGTAGAGACTAATAGATCATCATCAAAAAATTTTGTCTCTATAACAACGTTACCACTAAGTACAGATTAGAAAAAATTAATTATAAACAAATGATTTCAAAGTAGAAAATTATTACCACACGTGCTTACTTTAAGACATCAGCAGGCATCATTTGACTTTCTGGAGCAGCTTCGATTAAACTTTGCCATGTATTGGTACTATTAGGTATAACAAATCCAAATTCAAAGAACCATTCCTCTAAGCATCTTCCTTTAAATAATACTTTCTGTTCTAACCTAAACCTTTCTATTGGTTCTGCAGAACTAAAATTAATTTCTCGTGACACTGCACGACATTTTAGAATCTTTTTCGGTACTCTTGCTTCATGTTCGACACCAGGGATTGACCTTTGTGCAATAAATTCTATTATTAATACAGGATCGTATCATATAATTGCATCGATATTAAAAATTTTATAGGTTATAATATACTCACAAATCTTCGTTTCCTTGCCATAGTATTTTACCACTATCAGCATCTCGTAAATTCATCCAATTTCTGTAATAAATGATAGTTAAGGAACAGAATCGGATATCAATAAATATTATACAATGAGTAAGAGTAATTTTATGATAATTGAGTTTAACCTATAAAGTGTCATGTTTATACGCAATTTATTTGCCATAGGTATATAATTTTGTGACTTTAAAAAAGGATACACCTGAAAACCTTTAAGTATATCTTCGCCTCGAGAAGGCATAATTAATTTTAAACGAAGCTAATTATTAATATCTTGTGTGTATGTAAATGCACTATCCATTCAGGAGCTATCGATTCTTTATTCTATTAATTTGTAAACAGAAAGTAGCCACTGGTCATATCAGCTAATTTCAGATATCACCTATGAAATAGGAAATGTAATAAAATTAATTACAAATTTGAAAATTAAATAAAGTAAATTACATGTTGTAAATCAAGAAAATAAATACTGTAGGTAGGTTATAGCACATGGAATATAGGGTGCATATCAAATTTTGCAAAGTATTTAAAAATATTACGATTAAAAATTACTAGAAAGGTCTCATATTTGCAGGTTATATTAGATTATGGATACAACATTTCATAAGATAAGAAGTTTTAAAAAATATTATGTAAATAGTAATTGTCATCAAATACACTGGGGATTTTTTTCAACCTGAAAGAGTAATGGCATCAATATTTTCATTTGAGATGAAAATATGACGAATTTTGAAGAATTAATAAAATTATAAATATTTTTCAATTAATTATTATTTATATCAGTTACAGAACCATAACAAGAGATGTTGCAATTAAATAGTTATATCTTTGTACTTTAACATACATCGTTATAATATATTGATAATAAATGTAAATTATTGTAAATTTTACCAAATTCATTAATTAAAACAATTTTTTAAAGAGAATTCAATAGTTTTATTACTTTTCATTTATCTTTTCCCTCTCTAGGTTTTATTTGTTATTTTGGAAGAAAGTCGCATAATTAGATTCGAAGGAAAAATTTCCAGGAATTTGCTATTTCAAGGAAACACCTAAATTTAAGAGAGAGTTAATTTTTGTTTAAATAATGTTTAAATAATGTGTTACAATGTACCTATAATTTGGAAAAAGTTTATAAATTATTACAATGATTATTAATAACAAATTAATATTGTTAATAACAAGTTGTTCGCAACGTAAATTTATAATAAAAGTGAAAAATTAATCAATTATTGGCTATAACAGCGGAAAAATGAGAATTAATGAAATCGGTAAAGTTCGGAAATTTTCGTCATCGTTCGGCCAATCGAGGGCTATATAAAGGCCGTCGCTCTGTTATTGAAGCGATTTGTCGGTTCGACTCAGAAGGTGTATCATCTAAATTTTCGTTGTGCATAGTGGGGGTGGGTTCAAAGTGAGATTGGGATTGGTCACCTTAACCACACTCCACCCTCTTAAACAATTTAATAATAATTTTTCTTTTTAGGTATAACTTTTTTCTGTTAGATATAAGTTTTTCTTTTATTTTCAGGTGTAAATTATTTTTTTTTCGAATGTTTTCTTTCGTTTCTATTTATTATTATTTGAGAATTCGAATATTTCGTATAATATTCGAATGTTTTGTCGTTGGTTTATATTTCATCGTTGGTTTGTTCATGTCTCATCGTTGGGATGTTTATATCTCATTGTTGGATTGTTTATCCATTTCTATGCTCAATTGATGAACTTTTATAATTACATTGCAAAACTGGAACTTTAGGCAAAATTCTTACATAATTTTCGTAAAGAATTTGACGCTAATTAGTTAGTTATTAATAATTGTTTTGCGGCCTAAATGATTTCATAACCACGACTGTTTCTACAATGTTTTTACAATGTTTCGTGAAAATATTTAATAATGAGCGAAACTACAATCAAAATGTGTACAAAAATGACATGTGAACATGCCCAAGGATATCTTCTATATAAAGCGTGCATGAAGTTCATAAATTAATTCCGTAAAAGATGGTAATTAATGACAAACTATTAGCGTGTATGGCAAGAATTCAAACACTCTGTGCAATAATCACTAATAATTAATTAATTAGGGAGAAATTTATGTCTAAAATTAAATTACACGGCTCGTTAAGGATCTGCCTTTACAACGCAATTATAAAAGTTCATAAATTAATTTCGTAATAAAAACAAAAATCGAGTAATTTGATAATTTCCCACTGCCGAATTGATTTATTAAAATATATTAGGAGCACATAACCAGAGTTAGTAACCTGTTTGAATAACATCCTTGTTTTCGTAGATTGTCCTATGTCTCTGAAATCATTATATGAACTTTTATAAATGCATCGCAAAGCTGGAACATTGGGCAACCTTCTTATGCATTCTTCGTTCATAATTTGATGCCGATTCATAGTGACCGGCATTCAGGTTCGTTAAAATATATAATTATGAATGAAACCAGAAGCAGGAGAATTTCCAAAATCGTTTAAAATGTCGAGGGTTAGATCTGGTACGTACTTCCAAAGTCTGCAAAGGAGATTCGCAGATCGGCGAAATCGGACAGTTAAAAAAGGCAGTTCCCGTGATCCGATTTTTTAAATTTTTTATAAGCGTGTTGCCTGATGGCTAAAGAACGTAAAAAAATAAAAAAATCCGCTTTTCAAAATTATGCGAAAATCGATGTTCCGATGTATCTATCCATTGTGCAGTTGGAGAAATCGACAAAAATCGGATGGTTTAGAAAACCGAGATTTTTTTAGCGCATTCTTTAGCGCACATATAGGCGAGTTTTTTGGTATATAAAACGTTTAAAAAAGTCGAGGGATGGACTTGATACGTACTTCCAAAGTCTGCAAGAAACATTCGCAGATAGGCGAATTTTGTGATTTTGTATCAGGATAACATAAGACGAAAGAAGGTCGTTCATTGAGACAGTTCCGAGAAATGACGCCATTTCCAAGAATTCCGTGGACAATACTTTTGCAGCCTACATAGACAATTCTTTTGCCGCCACGCTGGTCAATTCTTTTGCTGCTACGATGGACAATACTTTCCCCGTCCCTGGTCAATACTTTTGCTGCTACATTGGACAATACTTTTCCCGCCGCCGGTCAATACTTTTCCCGCCGTCGGTCAATACTTTTCCCGCCGTCGGTCAATACTTTTCCCGCCGTCGGTCAATAATTTTCCAGCCACCGGTCAATACTTTTCCCGCCGCCGGTCAATACTTTTCCCGCCGCTGGTCAATACTTTTCCGGCCTTTGTGGACAATACCTTTGCGGCCTCGAAGAAAAATTTCTGGCCGATTTCGCGACTTTGTATCAGGAGAACATAACAACACAGGAGGTCTATCATCGAGACAGTTCCAGGAAATGTTGTCATTTCTGAGAATTCTGGGACAATGCTTTTGCGGCCTCGAGGAAACATTGCAGGCCGATTTCGTGATTTTGTGCCAGGAGAACATAATATGAGAGGAGGCTGCTCGCCGGTCGATTCCAAGAAATTACGTCATTTCCAAGAATTTTGCGGGCAATACTTTTGTGACCTCAGCGTAAAATTTCCGGCCGATTTCGCGATTTTGTATCAGGAGAACATGATATGACAGGAGGTCTACCGTCGAGACAGTTCCAAGAATTGACGTCATTTCCAAGAATTCTCTCATAATACTTTTGGCGCGTCGGGGAAAAGTTTCTAGCAGATTTCACGACTTTGTATTAGGATAACATAACATGAAAGGAGGTCTATCGTCGAGTCAGTACCAAGAAATGTCGTCATTTCCAAGAATTCTCTGGACAATACTTTTGCAGCACGGCGAGAAATTTTCAGCCGATTTTGTCTCTTTGTATTAGGGTAACATAACATGATAGGAGGTTGCTCGCCAACCTATTCCATGATTTTACATCATCTCCAAAAATTCTCTGGACAATACTTTTTCTACTTTGCAGTACAGTTTAATAATTTTACTTACCTTATACTTACCTTATACTTACCTCATACTTACCTTGCTTACTTACCTTCCCTTACTTGGATTCCTTTCCTTACTTACAAGGAGTGTGCAAGTCCTTCGGGTCACCGATGTAGTTGAAACTTTGCAGCTTTGTAGATATCGTCATGCAGTTTAAGAAAATATATTATTATAGCCGCAATTACTAAATAGTTTTTAAGATATTTGCGATTAAAGTTTTATTACACCATTAATTACATATTTATTTCCAATGTGTTTTCAGTTAAGTTGTAGCGTAACTGGGACGATTGAGAATTGATATAGTGGAGGACCGCGGGGTTCAAATCCCGTCGGTACTTTTGATAATTTATTTAAATATAATTTTTGTTTTGTATTTATTTTTCCCCTATGAAAACGTTGTAAATACACAAATATAAATAAAATTTCTTAATAAAAAGAATGATTTTTTATGCTTTCTTATGCTAGTATATATTTATTACAAAATTATAAGAATATTATGCAAGAGAAATACTTTTCTACAGCAATCTTATTTACTACAGAAAATACAAAACTATCGCTCGTGTAAATATTAATTATTAAATTAAACATTGTATAAGAATGTTGCCTATAATTCCAACTTTGCTCTGCAGCTATAAATGTTCATAAATTAATT